GATTTAGCAGCTTTCTTGGGTGCTTTACTCTTCTGCTGCCATCCTCCTTTTACCCTGTTCTTGTTAGTCTCACCCTGCTGGAAATCACAACACACATCATGCTCCGTAAGTTACAGCAGCAGGGTCATTTGGAAGTCACAGTAATTTTTAGATGGAAATGGCTAAACTGAATGCAAACTGAATTATTCTCCCACAGCAATATAAGTCAATCAGAGAAATAAATAAAACATTTCCTTCACCAGGAAAGACAGGTTCAGAAAACTTAAGTTTTTACCCCATCTTCTGCTGGCTGTTCCTCTGCAGCGCAAATGGACTGTTCCTTTTCAAATACTTCCTAGGAGTAGCAAGAAGACAAATATAAAATCTGTCAGCCTATTATTTATCTTTTAGACAAAGCAATCTCTCAAAACATATATTTTTAAAAAGCTTTTTTAAACTAGCTACAATTGAGGAAGGGGGAGGAAACACTTAGCAATTACTGGGTGATGAATATGCACCATACACAGGTAGTTACCTTCTGTAGTATCGCAGATCTGTCTTGACCACACATATATTTTGAAAAGTACAGTCTATTTAAATTTATAAATGCAATGACTTAAGATATAAAATACATTGTAAAGCAAAAAATATTTCACACTTTAATAACTTCACTTTTATTCTAATAGCAATCAAACATGAACATTTTGATATTATGAAAATTTTAATATATCACATTTTCTGACATTAAAACCTTGACAAGACCAACATTACTTTACTCATTATTGTTGGTGAAACTGCTCATTGGATCCAGTGCTCAGTGGATCCACTAAAAAGTGCTCATTTAGTGCTCACTGGATCCACTAAAAAGTGGATCACCAAAAAAACTCACATATCCTAAAAACATTATCTACCAACCATTTAGTCTACTTAGCATCAGTGCAGAAGCTGTAAATTTAGAATCTGAATCCCAATAAGGACCCAGTAAGAATCTACAGTAGAAGATGACAAATGGTGTGGGCTGTATTTAACGAACTCCTTGGTATTATTAAGCTACTAAGTAAAAAGAATTGTTAGGCTCTTATTTATTTATTTATTTATTTATTTTGCTCTGCTTAATACTGGAAGTATCAAAATTGTTTTGGACCACATACAAACAATAACAAAAGCTGATTAGCAAAAACAAACAAACAAACCAAAAAATAGTCCATGCATACTTTCAGTGCTATCTGACACCACAGATAAGCAAAAAGAAGAAAATGTCCTCATAAAATTAGCATAAGGCCCTATGAGGGCACAGGTTGGACACCCCTGCAAGCTGATCAGAGAGAGCCTAATTCAGGGGTCAACACCCTGGATGGCCCACCACCTTTTTTAGTTACTGTTTTTGTTTTTAAAGAGATGAGGTCTTGGTATAATCCTCCTCACCTCAGCCTTCCATAGCTGGGACTAGAGAGAGGTGCATGCCACTGTGCCTGGCAGACCACCTGCTTTTTAAACAAAGTTTTATTGTAACACAACCATGTCCATTTGTGAGTTTAGTCGTTGCTACAAAGATTGTACAGCTTGTTAAAACCTAAAATATTTACTTTCTGAACCTTTACAGAAAACAGTTGCCATTCCCTCGTCTAATTCTGTCATAACGTCCTCATTTCTTCATTTATTAGCCAGGTCCTAATGTTTGATTACTCTGAGATACAGTTCATACAAGAATGGGAAGATAAATACTCAGTTCTTTCCCTTGCTCCAGGGTAGTTTTTTTTCTACCAATTACCCCAGAAATGTCAATGGCCTAAGATCAAATTTTTGGTCATTTCTCAGGCTGGGAATAGCAAATTAAGTGGGTAGAGTAAATATGGATTCTGAAACCAATTTTGGCATTGGCTGAGAGTTTCTTTTTCAAGGAGGCACATCACATCCTGAGTCCACGACACAAATGTTTCATTACCATTTGCTACCATAAAACCAGTATCTTTGACATGATACATCCAACTAGAAAATATGCTTTTCCAATCAGCAATTTTAGACATGAGATTTAAATGCAGCATGTATTTCCTACAGATGCAGAAACCCCCAAATCACTAGTTAAAATCTACCACTAGCTGAATAAAC